TACCCATCTTTACATTTAAAAACAAATGGCTTTTGCTGTTTGTTTTTTACAGCCCCTTTGGGGAAAAAAAACATTTATAAGATTTAAAGCCCTAGAGAATTTAAGTTCCTCCAGCAAGGAATTGAAGTTTATTGAGACAAAGGATGGTATTGACTAGTAAATTAAAAGCAGTAAGAAAAGTTAATATATATTGTGGTATATGAGGAAGCCATTGGTTTAAAACTAATTCAGCCTCACCTTACTTTTCCAGAAAGACCTGACGTGGCCTGTCGAGCATGCACTGTACATCTGCTTTAAACATTTACAATGTCCCAAAGCTGAGAACGATGCCCTTAAAGATAGGAATGTTGCCTCCCCCCATACATTAGCATTTCTTTATAGATAAGCATTTCTTCCCAGAAGCCAAGGACTACTTACTGACCTACTGCGCTTATCTCATGACCACTGACCTGCTGACTGCCAACCTTCTGTGCTCACCTGATGACCACTGACCTATTATGCTAGCAAAGCACCTCGTGACTGTAGTAAAAGGGATATTCCTGTCATATTTGATATTATATGTTCCCTGTTCTAAGACAGTATATAACCACTCCGTACACCCCGCTTCTTCGGAGTGCTTCCTTCCTTGGGGAAGGTCATTTTCTCCCAGGTTATAGTCCTCAAAACTGGCTCATATAATAAACTCACCCCAATTTTGATTTATAGATTAATTATGGATTATTTGTGTCGATAGCATCTTACTCATCATGTGTTTCCCGCACTGGTACAGTAAGTATGTAAATAAATGTGTTTTGAATAAAAGACCTCTTCTGACCTTTATAGGTATACATGCCTAGACCTCATAATTGTAATTACAATGTACAACCTGAAGTAAGCTTTATTTTTATGATTAACACCTTTTATATCAATTTCCCACAAACCCACATGGCCCACGCATTTGTCATTTTAAGGGCAATGCTATATGTCATCATATCGCTATGCCATAGACTGCTTACCACTCCTCTCAAGCAGCTGGGACTGGAGCTTCTATGCACAACAGGATTCTAACGTGTCAATGAAGCTAACCTGGACAGGGCTCTACTTGCATGAGGGTTCTAAGGAGCTACCAAAGAAAAGGGGAGAAAAAATCCTCCTAAAATGAGTTAAAACATGAAAAGTCTCATTAAAAGAAAAATGTGTCAAAGAGAAAAAGGCATTTCCCATGTATAGGAATGGGTTTTGTAACAGCGTGACAAATGTTTGGTTGTGGCATCATTTTTACTTATTATTAGCTGAAATACTCCAATTCTTACATTAAGATAAACACAAACAAATACAAAAACAACTGCATATTTAAAAACTGACCAAATTAAGTGAACTTCTCAGGTTCCCTAAATCATTCTTAAAAGATGTGATTCAAGTGGTACCCCAAACATGATCACTTTGGAAAAATGATTTGACTACCATAACAGTCACAAAATGAAAAATAAACTACAATAATCTCTCAATATACAAATAAGATTATGAAATTCAAAGTGCAAATCAACTCTAGTTGAGTCTATGTTGGACTCATTCAAAGGGAGTGGGGGTTAGTTACAGAGATACCAAAAGGCCCAGATTTACTTATGAGGCAGTCCCATAGACTCTAAAGACGGCATAACTCCAAGACTCTAAAGTATACTAGGTATCAAGAGGAAAAAAGAAATATCATGAGGCTATCTATGTCATATATCTGAGCTTGTGGCTATTCCGAGAAAAAGCTTCCAGTTACTTAGAGCTTACATCTTTTGGGAGATTCTGTAATAAACAAGGATTTTTCACAAACAATAAAGTCAACTTTGGTAAGGTAAAATTTAAAGTGCTTTTTGAAAACTGTCTTGGAACCCAGTAACTTGTTTTGTACATATTTTAATTACAGGTGTTTTTATTTTTTACTTAAGATTTTGAAAAGCAAACTATCCTTAAGTTTAAAAGACTATATTCTCCTAGACAGCACAACCAGAAACATATCAAATTCAAATAATTTGTTGGCACTTAAAAACAAAATTAGTATGGACCTAAGTTCTTACTACATAGTTCATTTTACAGTGATTCACCATGAGTAAGCTTTAAAACTCATTTCCCTTAGAATGCTAGTCTTAAAAAAAAATCTGTCTATGCATCATAATTACTACCTTAAAAGAAAATGGGAAGAGGTTTCACACCTGATTCCCCTTGTTATTTTTCACAATGATACATAGTTACTTTTGTCAGCCCCAGTTTAAAAAAAAAGTTTGATGTTAGTGTCAGCTGTTTGGAATTTACACTGCATTTCCTCATTGACACATTGTTATAAATGGTAGCAAAAACCCTGCCAAAACCTACCTAACGGCTAGTGTAACTGACGTGTGGGTGGTACTTACTGGATTCTTCAATTCCTCTTTCATTAGCGGAAAATGTTTCAGTGCATGTTTTAAACATCCTGGATTGCAAAAATTGAGTCAGCTGATTTTGGAAGAACATTCCCCTAGGGAAACATGAGTTGACTCACTGCACACTATTACAAAAGCCTCTTAACTGATCTCTCCTAGCCTCCAGTCTCTTCCTCCTATATTCTGTCCTCCACTTGCCAGTTATCCTAATCGCAAATCTGGTTGTCAAACCCCTATTAAAAACCTCCGTGCCCAAAGCACTGCCTACAGGGTAAAGTCCAACCTCAGCACCGCACAGAAGGCTGTCCCCAACTGGTACCTTAGTTTTTCCTTGCCTCCCTTTCATGTCGACTGCCTAACGACATTCTCATCATTCCCTAACAAGTCATGTTCTTTCACCCTTCTACACTCTAAGCAAAAACTCTTCTGCTTAGAATGCATTCCTATCCCTTTACTTGAACATTCGCCCATATAGATCAGTTCAAATACCACTTTCTCTGTAAAAACGTTCCCCAACATCCCTCAGATAGATTTAGCACATTTGGTCACCCTTTGCGCCTCCACAAGTACGGAGCATGGTGTTTATAGGAGTTCTATAAACGTTGACTAAATTTTGAAAGCCTACGCTTGCTTAAGTGAGGGACTGACCATAAACTGTTACAGCCACAGTTAAAAACCATAAGGATATTCCATATGCGGGTATGTAATCAATACATACATTAACATTAGAAATACAGTATTTTTACAGTAACAATGAAAATATACATTATTTATATTTGCAAACACAAAATCATGGATTACCGAAACTCCAGATGTATAATCTACCTCAACTTAAATATTGGTAAATGTTAATCATCCAGAACACCACAGCAAAAACAATCTTATTTATTTTTGTGTGTGTGTGAGGAAGATCAGCCCTAAGCTAACATCTATGCTAATTCTCCTCTTTTCACAGCAAAAACAATCTTAACCAGAAAAGATTTGGTAGCTTCCTATTCAATAAAGTTTCAATATTTAGAGCTTCAATATTCCTGCAATGGGGCAAATTTACTTAACTGAAAAAGAATAAACCAAAGATAAGAAAAAAATTTAATTAGTTTTCTGAAGGTCAGCAGTCCTGCACTGAAATCTTCCATCATCACCTTTGAACAACTCTCAAGGCAACGATTTAATAAAAATCCCCATTCTCCATCATACTGTATGGCTGATAAAGGAAATACAGCCATGCAAACAATAATTTAATACAAGAGCCAAAATAAATCAAGAAGCTGTTTCCAGAAAGAAGCTAGAGTGTTGGCGATTTGTTTCCACTATGTTTGGGCATCTCCGATATAAATACCTTACATAATCAAGGGAACTTTCATAATTCAAAAGCGATTTCACATAAATGATTTAATTCTTACGATAATCCTGTGAGTTAAGCAGAGTGGGGATTATTTGTCCGGATTTAAGACATTACGAACCCAGTAAAAACGCAGATAAAAGACTGGCTATAGAAATGTAGCACTTCGTTTCCTAAAAGAACTACTCTTACTACAAAAAAAAACGGCCCAAGAAAAATGAGCAACCCTCCCCACCCGCCTTTATCCCATCAGTTAATTTAGCTCTGTGGACCTACTGGTGATTCCACTACTAAAATAAACGTCAAAACGTAAATTATGATAACCTGGAGCAAAAGTTCCATCTCCCGGTCTCTTTCCAAGTGACATGAACTCTACAAGCAAGACCGAGCTCCAATTCTCCAAGCAGTTTAAATGTGAACACACCCTCGGCGCGCACCCAGCCTCCAGGGCTCTCAGCCGACTCCGAGGGTCAGAGTCGGACCCCGAGTAGTCCCGGGAGAGTCTGGGGGACCCCGCTATGCGCGAGATGGGGGTGGGGCGCACCGCCAGAGGCTCTGCCAAGCAGGAGACGCAAGAGGAACCAGACAGGAGAACAGTGCCAAGAAGGGTCTGGGGCGCCTGACCCCGAACCTCGGGTCCGACAGCTCTCCACACGCAGCTGGAGCAGCTCCGCCTCCCGACCCCGGGTCCAGACCCCCGGCCAGGCCCCTCCTCTCCCAGGCACCCCGGGGTAACTCCGAGCGTCTCAGCACTAGGAAACAGAAATCCCAAAGGTCCCTGGGGGCGGACACCCACCTGGCCGAGCCCCACCGAGGATTGGGCCCACCAAGCCCAACAACAGCAGCCACTGGAAGCGGAGGGTCCCAAAGGGCGAGCCCGCGCCCGACCCCATCCCGGCCGATTCCGCAGGTTCCCCTCAACACTCGCTCGCCCGTGCCGCCGCCGGCTCCATCATTTCCCAGCCCTGCCGGGGCCCCAGCGCGGGCCGGGTGCGCGCGCCCGGGGGCGAACACGCGCTCGGCACTGACGCAACTCGGCGCTAGTCCGAGCTCGCTCCCGACTTCGCGCTCGCTGCGCTGACGTCAGGAGAAATCCAGGCCCCGGCCGGAGAATGGGTTTCTCTCCGGCCGCTGAAACCCCGCATTAGTCTGCCCCGCCCATTCGCCATCCGCCCCACCCTCTACTCCCAGGCCCGCCCACCTGGGGGTGGAGGGACAGCCGCAGGAAGCACTCGGAGCAGAAGAGGAGGAGCGTGAGACCCAGAAGAGGAACTGAGAAGCAGAAGCGACGCGCAGCCCCGCCCCCTACGAAGCCTCTTCTGATTGGTTGGCGCGGGTTGGGCGGAGCGTCAAGCTATGCGCCCATTGGCTGTTTCGCGGCGAGGAGCGGGGCTCACCGGAGAAGCCTGACCAGGCCGGGCTTGGGTCGGCGGTGCCGCCCGGGGTTTGTGGTTGAGGCCGGGTCTCCGCCGCTGGGCCCGGGAAGATGGTGCTGGGTGGTTGCCCGGTGAGTTACTTACTTCTCTGCGGCCAGGCGGCTTTGCTACTGGGGAATCTACTTCTGCTGCATTGTGTCTCTCGAAGCCACTCGCACAACGCTACCGCCGAGCCCGAGCTCACGTCCGCTGGCGCCGCCCGCCCGGAGGGCTCCGCCGGCGCCCCGAGCTGGGAGTATGGCGACCCCCACTCTCCAGTCATCCTTTGCTCTTACCTGTAAGCTACCCAGTCATCGAGGCGGGTGGATGGAGACGAGGCCAGGGACATACGGGTGTTGTGCGGAGGGACGTGGGAGGGACGTGGGAGGGACGTGGGAGGGAGGCAGGCTGCTTTTTTTTTCCGGACCCTTTTCACCTGAGAACCTGCTAGTCAACGCGAGGGAGGTAAATCTCAGGACAGATTTCTCCCTCCTCTACCCATGCAGGGGAAACCTTGTGTGTCAGTGGCAGACCCTTGGGATGCCGAAAGAGGAGAACTAGGGAGGAGTGACATCGTGTAGCCTCCGGAAGAGGGTCCGAGGTTGTGCCTTCTCTGTCGTGCTCCCTTTAACGGAAGGAGAATCCATCGTAGGTGCTGGTACTGAGTGAGGCACAAATGGAGTAAATTACTTGTCCCTGCCTACGAGGCACTTCCTAAAAAAAACCAATATCCTTACCGTTGCAGAACCTTAACATCTCTTTTTAGTCAAATAAGAAAAGGTGTTTGGGAAATGCAGATAGAACTGGGAATCCTTTGGCTTCAGTTTTGCCCTCATAGCCTTGTGGCCGTTTGCTACGGGAGAGATGAAGCCGTGACAGAAGTAGAGTCCGTGTAGAAATAGGACCAGAAACACACCCCTGCCCCAATAAAAGGGTCATTTGGATGGCTGTCTATTTGACCTGCTGTGCTTCAGTCTAATTCACACCATCTCTTGTCTTGGGGAAGAGTCGGAATGAAATTAAAGCCCAGAAAACCTGAATAAATGTGTCTTGCCTGTTTTGATAATACACATTTAAACAGCCATTTGCAAAGATCATATGATGGTGATGATCATGATCTTACTGGTGATTTACAGACCTGATGAATTTATAGAATGTGAAGACCCAGTGGATCATGTTGGAAATGCAACCGCATCTCAGGAACTTGGTTATGGTTGTCTCAAGGTGGGTTTTTGTTTTGTTTTATAAGCAAACTCTTCTATAGAGAAATGGCACTGGCTAAATGTTGTTACAGAAAAGTATAAGGAGTATGAAGTTACCTTTTTGTAGAATTCATTAAAATGACTGTTAATGGAAATTTCCAGCATGGCCGGGGTCAGTGGCAGAGCAAGACATTTAGTTTCCTCGGGAAGAAGCAGTTTCTGTGCCAAAAATACCCAAGTGCAAGGACCAACCTGTCTTTGGTTCCTTTGGCCATTGAGATTGACAGATTTGAAGCTGAAATGTCACCCTAACTATCCATCAAGGCATGCACTTTCCTAAAAGAGGAAAAAAAAAAGCTTTTGCACTTTCTAAATCTGATGATGGATTGAGCAGTATCTTTGGTACACATGCATTTGGGGCAACGCTCCTCTTGCCAATGATCTTTCTTTTCACCGGGCAAGCAGTTTCCGCCACATCCTTAGGAAATAGATAGGGTTCATCAGTATATGTCTTTTCAGGAGGTTATAGCAGTCAAGGAGAAGCCTTTGGTAACAATGGCCTCTTGGAGTGGAAAGAAGCCATTCAGTTCCATTAATAATATCCCTAAAGTTGAGTGCACACTTCCTAGTCAGTCTCCCAAAAACCAGTGAAGTTCATGTACTTCCTCCACACTGTGGACTCACCATTATGTCGTATTATGCTGCGTAATGCAAATCAAGATGCAGTCAGGTGTCAGAGAGTTATGGGAAAACTCTTTGTACTAAATCAGAATAAACCAGAAAGTAATAAGACCAAAAAGGAAACTCTTTCTGCAATCATGTGTAAAGAAATATTTTCAATACAATGAGATTTTGTTCTAATGATAATTATTGATAAAAGTTTGAGTTAGCATTGTAGAGAGATCACTTACTTTTGCCCATTTTAATTAAAAAATGGGTTGATCCTGTCAAGGCACTCGAACTGTCACTTCCCCCAGAAGTCCTAGAGGACCGGCAGTACTCAGGCGCCTGAGTCCAGGGGGAGGTACAAGGAGTAAGCATCCTTATTTCCCACTCCCTTGCCTTTGAGGAATGTTCCAACAAAAATAGCAGTGACACACTTAATAAGGTGCCAGGAGAGAATGAACAGCTGTGCTTTCTCTGCTAGAATTCAGTAACACAAAAGGTCAGAGGTCCTGTTCTCAAATATTTTGCTGGAATTTAAACTTATACTATAGATGTACTACAGATATCTGATAATCACACATTCATGACCTAAATGAAGTCCTGGGTCAGTTGATATTCTGAGTTCTTTCCTAATTATGTTCATTTATAACATATATATATAAAACAGCCCTCTAGTACACATTGATTTTTTAAATAGCCATTCCCAAATGTTCAGTAATGTGCTCTTTTTCCTGTAAATATAGGATAATTAAAGCATTTTGTCCATCTGTTCTAAATGGCATTTAATGAAACTGATTATAAATTTTTTTTATGATACTATTAAAGAAGCCAGTCATAAAGAAGAAAAAAAAGTTTATTTAAAACAATGTCAATTTAGGATAGACTAATGTAAAATCACTTGAAGTATATCACTAAATTCTTTGCTCTTTAGTATAGCTTCACTCCAGCTTTGTTAGAATAATTATTGTCCTGAGTCAGCTTTTATTAATTAGTATAAAGATATGTTTTGTAGGGCCGACCCCATGGCTTAGCGGTTAAGTACGCGCGCTCCGCTACTGGCCAGCCAGGGTTCGGATCCCGGGCGCGCACCGACGCACCGCTTCTCCGGCCATGCTGAGGCTGCGTCCCACATACAGCAGCTAGAAGGATGTGCAACTATGACATACAACTATCTACTGGGGCTTTGGGGGAAAAAAAAAAAGGAGGAGGATTGGCAATAGATGTTAGCTCAGAGCCGGTCTTCCTCAGCCATCCTTAGCATGGATGTTAGCTCAGGGCTGATCTTCCTCACAAAAAAAACAATAAATAAAATAAGATATGTTTTGTGTTACTTGCTTTGGTGAGTTTGTTAGTTTTGTATGTTTTGGTTTGGTTGTCATCACAGTTCGGTGGTCAGGCCTACAGTGACGTGGAACACACTTCAGTCCAGTGCCGGGCCCTAGATGGAATTGAGTGTGCCAGTCCCAGGACCTTCCTACGAGAGAATAAACCTTGTATAAAGTAAGTGTTACTTTGAATGGGGTAGTTGTTGCTTGGATGGAGGTAGAGCTGTTTTCCTTGTCATTTCTTGATGTGACTTCTTTTACCTTAAGTGTTAGAGGGGCAACATGATTACTACTGTGCATAATCCATGGTCAGGGGCAATGTTGTTATAATAGAGAGGACACTGGACATGAGACCAGAGGCTATAAGTTCTAAATATCTCTTTCACCAGCTTGCTAAGTATCTTTGGATGCCCAGAGTCTCTGTCCCCTCATCAACAGAGTGAAGGAGTTGGACCAGATGATCTAGCTCCAGAATTCCTATGATAGGCATAAATCCTGTGAAAATAGCCCTAGTATTTAAGGAATAAAGGTTTTATTATTAAAAGTGTGGGCCTCTCTCCCTGAAAATTAGTTTGTCTTACAGTTAAAGAATTAGGGTTGCGCCGGCCCCATGGCTTAGCAGTTAAGTGTGCGCGCTCCGCTGCTGGTAGCCCGGGTTCAGATCCCAGGCACGCACCGTCGCACCACTTCTCCGGCCATGCTGAGGCCGAGTCCCACATACAGCAATTAGAAGGATGTGCAGCTATGACATACAAGTATCTACTGGGGCTTTGGGGGAAAAATAAATAAATAAAATTAAAAAAAAGAATTACGGTTATTTCTGTAAATTCTGCTTGAAGGCACAGAATTTACTTGAACCGTTTGCTAATAGAGAGTCTATGACTGCGTTTAGTGATGACATCAGAGCAGCTGCAATTGAGCGTCATCACAGTCTATAAGGCAGAAGTCCTTATGAAGAAGTCTGGTCTTTAGTTGCCACAAAACAGCAGGAAAGGTATATGGAGACCAGTGTTCATTTAAGGAAAGACAACACTTCGTTAGAGAACTACATTCAGAACTCCAGCCTCAGGAAAAGAGCCTGTGGCGGGGAATGGGGCCCAGACTCTACTTCTACCTCGATGCCTATTATGCAGCTGTGCTTGATAATTTCTTGTCCAGTCCAACTCAATATTTGTTCTTATAGGTCCTCCATTTCTTAGCAAGTACTCTTGAGACTCCAGACCAACTAGAGACTTTCTGTTTGCGGGAGCTAAGGGAGTAAGAAGCCACAGAGGGACTGCTGCACCATCTTTTCCTTATGTTGAATTCATTAAGTGTTTTAATTTTTATGTGGTATACATCTTCTTTTTAATTCCTTTTGTCTAGGTATACCGGACACTACTTCATAACCACTTTACTCTACTCTTTCTTCCTGGGATGTTTTGGAGTGGATCGTTTCTGTCTGGGACACACTGGCACAGCAGTAGGGAAGCTGTTGACACTTGGAGGACTTGGGATTTGGTGGTTTGTTGACCTTATTTTGCTTATTACTGGAGGGCTGATGCCAAGTGATGGCAGCAATTGGTGCACTGTTTACTAAAAAGAGCTGCTGTCATGGCCCAGAGAGGCAAGTCTTCTGAATTCATCTCTACAGGCTCAGAACTCTTCCTTGATATCAGAAACGACCATTACTTTCCCTCTTTGGACAGAATGAGTTTGGTTAGGAAGGTTTCTTTGGACTGGATTTTCAACCCAAATTTTACCTTGCAGACTAGAAATGACAAGCAAACAGTATTGTGGGAATCAAGTTTGTACCTTTCCTCGTGTACAAAATACAAAGGAGAGTGACTAACTTATAAGCTGCAGAAGGGTTTCCATGCTCTTTATTTCTGTACATTGCTGTATCTTCAATCCTTTGGAGCAAGTGGACCCAACAGGATGAGCAAAGTGAATATTTTTAGCCTTGCGCCTTTTGTGACCCTGAGTCTTCTTACAGAAGAGATCTAAAGCTGAACCGATGGAAATCTTCAGCAGAAGTAGAAATGGCCATGGATTTTAATACACACTGAAATTCTGACTTTCTGAATTTAAATTGCAGAATAAATTTTGCCAACCTGGAATGCTGTTTGGATATTTTCAATAGGTAGACTGAAACTCAAAATTATATCTGTTTTGCTAAAGGCTAGGCGTTTGAAATGAACCATCCTATTAATAAATGCTTTTGTTTCATAATTATTATGCTCGAGAGGCAATATATACAGTACAATAATTTCTTCATTCCAGTTATGTTTTGAAAGCCAACGGTATCACACATGGGTAAACTATCCTCTTGACAGAATTTTCCTGTCTAAAAATTTGTATTTACCAGTTTAGAGAGCCCATGTTGTACGCTGGTAAAAAAGATTTCATACAAGTAACTCTAAAACTATTATTCACGATTAGGTAAGATAAGATGAGGAGCCTCAGGCCCTTGGAAAGGAAAACAGACTCTTACTTAAAGGATATTAGTACTGAGTGCTGGGTAGAGTTAGGATGTGATTTATGGGGACAAAGAGAAACTGAACATATTCTGTCAAAATAAGCATGGTACCAGAAGCTCTCACTGTGGACTACAGCAGTCATTCACAGGGAAAGAGTAACAATCAAGTTTTTGCATTCCAAAATCACTGGGAATAAAAGGAAATGTTCCAAATTATAAGTGGTTTTAAAAACTTCGTTCCCATCCTTTACAATCTAAGTTGAAAAGAACTGTTAAATATAGAGTAAAAGGGGGACTTTGTGGGCAAGTCAAACTAAGCCTGCTATTTGGGATAACTTATAAATTCTAGAAACAATCAAGGTAGAAATGCTCAAAGTTTAGTCTCATAATAATTAACTTAAAGACCAAGAATCACAGTTAAAATAACTCTGCAAATGCTCTATCATTATGAAGCAGCTTTCCTAAAAGTTTCAGGTTTATTATCCCTGATTAATATGATCACTGTTCTTATATTATTAAATGGTGACAATTGTGTAAAAGGTAAAACAGATTATTTTCTGTCCAGAAAGTTCTGTACCACATTGACCTTAACCTTGTTAATAACAGTAATAATTGGTAGATTCTTATTCATACTGTCTTTACTCTAAGACAGTATTTTTTAAACTGTTCTGAGTCATGAAGAAACTGGACCCTCTCCCCAGAAAAATGCACATACACATAACATTTTGCATAGAATTTAAGGGGGTTCAAGGATACCATATTTAAAAAAAATAAACTCACTTCTAAGAGAAATCTGGAAAACAAAAACTAAAATTAAAATCTTACCCAAGATAAGATACTATGTTAAGGCACAAATCTTGCCTCATCTCACCATTTTTTTTAATCTTCTTAAGGATATTCACAAACCCCATCAAACACTATTTTCTTTAAAAAAAAAAAAAAAAAGAAAGAAAAAAACTTTGGCAGCTTTCAGACTCAAAATCATTAACATTTCTAGGAGGAAGAGTTTGGGTAAAAAGGTAAAAGTCTAAGTTATTAAAGTATCTGTTTTATAGAAGCCCTTCTCACAGTAAAAAGCTGTTGGAGACCAAAGTTGTTTCCACTGCTAGAGTGATAACTTGAGCATCTTTGATATTCCTCTGTGACAATCGACATTGTCAGTTTCAATTTGACTTCTAAATGATGCCCATCCTCTGTATCCACAAACCCTGGCCAAATGTGATACAACCTCAAAAACTGATGTAGTAAAGGAATATTATTAAAAATTTGAGGGGCCGGCCCAGTGGTGTAGTGGTTAAGTTCACGTGCTCCACTTCAGTGGCCTGAGGTTCCCCAGTTCAGATCCTGGGAGCGGACCTATGCGCCACTCACCAAGCCATGCGGAGGCGGAGTCCCACATAGGGCAACTAGAAGGATATACAACTATGACATACAACTATCTACTGGGGCTTTGGAGAGAAAAGGAAAAAAGGAGGAAGATTGGCAACAGATGTTAGCTCAGAACCAATCTTCCTCAAAAAAACAAAAAAAAAGAATTAGAAATTTGATTTCCTTTCCACTCTGGATTCAGGTTGTTTCTTAATATTTGGTAGATAGTTCTATTGCGTGTGTGTTGTGTTTGTGTTATATCCAGTTTGTGGCTATAGAGAAGTTTTAAAATACTAAAGGATCCTGTCAAGGTTAAATGAGAAACTGTGCCTGTTTTTCAGTTGTTTCCTATCTTTAAATAAAATTTTATCAGCTCCCCAGACTTCCTGGCACCATGTCCTTCTTCCACTTGCTTTAGTAGGACTTCTTAGCAGCAGTATAGCATTGCCAACCTAATGATCCCTGAACGTGTGCGTGTGTGTGTGTATGTGGAAAGAGATCCTAAAACCCCTTGCCATCTTTGGCACATCTTCAGTACAAACCAGGTAATATGGCTTTGGTTTTGTTAGATAATTTCTCTCTAAAGGAAGATACTTAATTGATTATTTCAGGTGTGACTGTCAGGATCACCGTTTGACTTCCCCGACGAACCATGATGGAAACGGAATCATTGTCCTTAACAGCTTCAATAACATCGCTTGTGGTGGTAACAGGTTGCCCATTTATGCCGACAATTACATCGTGGTCTCTCAACCCAGAGCTGGGAGGAGGGAGAAAAAGGACCATGAAACTATAAGAGTTTTACTTATTCCCATGGCACTACTATTTTGCTGGTATTAAACATACAAACCAGGAAACCAGAAATAGCACCAATCTTTCCAAATATAAGGGCTGTTCTGAGATATGCTGCAAAATCACCTGGAAGACAACCGTCCTATTTACCTTTATAAAATTAATATTCTATCAGAATCATGTGTAAGAACTTTATTCCTCTGATATATTGGATTAGGTTTGGAATAGGGAATTCAGCTTTTAATTTCTGTTAATCTCTGACCTCTGTTAGCCTCAAGTACACTCCTGATCTTACCAGCAAATGTGAAAAGTCCAAGCAATATATTTTTCTGATCAGTTTGATTTTGACAGCCCACTTACTTGCCCCATCTTGACCACAGCTTATGGGACTGGAAAGTGTGTTGAGCTGCATGACAGAAGCTCTGCTTCCAGTAAGTCAAAAACCAGTCACCCAAGCCTAAATATTTATGGCTCTGGTTCTAGGCTCCTTTTCACCAAAGTTGTGATTATATTCAGTCTCCAACATACTTGCTTCACACAGAATATATATTCTAGAAACAAAAACCACCTCCAAATATGAAACACTGCAATAAATATATAGCCATGCTGATGATTTGTTTTAAAGGCAAAAATAGGCTCGAAGAAGAACATCGAATTAAATGACTCCAGGAGATACCATTTAAGAGAAGTGGGAAGCCCAAGGCATAATGATAATGTGGGAGGATTACCAAGATAGTGAAGTTTATAAAAAGGAGAAATTTAAAGCAAGAGGATGTGAAGAGAAGTTTGAGGGTGGAGCTAAAAGAGGGAAAGCCTTTAGAACAAGGACAGCTCAGGAGGATGACTGGGACCGTGCACAAAGAAAGAACTTAATTCGTGGTAGTACTGTGAGTAGAAAAAGAAAGAAAGAAATCTGCAAATTAATAGTGAGTGCAAATTATGCACCATATATTGATACCAGCTTAACACAAGGTTGACATAAGGGAAGCCATATTGTAGAAAAAAAACATTGTAACTTTGAATGACCTCTGACTAACTAACCCAGCTGGATATGCACCCTTCAGGAGATCTAATTGCTTTGTAGATCCCTGCTTGTGCATGTACCTCCCAGCTGCCATAAGACGATGACTTTGTTCTTTTGAGTTCTTGAGGAATGTGATGACCCCCGAACAAAGAGTCTATGCTGATAGCCATCATCAAGGAAAACTGAAAGATCTGGTGTGGTGACTCCCAGTCTGTAACACCAGAGGGTCAACATTCCTAACCCCCTCCCCTATAACCCACTGGCCTATATAACTGCTTCAAGATTCTGTGCTCCCTTAAGATGGTTCTTTTGGACATTAGTCGGCCATCTTCCCCCTTGCTAGCAAGCTGTAATAAAACCCTTTTTCTCCTCCTTCCTTGCCTTTTGACTACTGGCATGTCTTGTGGCAGGCAGACAACCCCCCCCCCCCCCACCTTGTGTAGTAACAATATGAGGAAGTGAGGCCCAGACAGGATAAACGGCCTTTCCCCTGTCCTACAGCTTGTAAGAGGCTAAAGTAGGATTTATCCTGGGTCTTTCAGACTTGAAAACCCATCTTTTTGCCACTCCACCACTCTGCCTCTCATAAACAAGGAAAGCAGGATAATAGAGGGGTTACGCCAGGTTCCACATCCCTGCTCTCCAACTTACTGTGTAACTCTCAAGTTAATTAACCTCTCTGTACCACAGCTGCTTCCTCTGTAAAATAATACCTATATCATAAGACTATTGGGGGCTCAAACAAGTATGTAAAACACTTAAAATGGTGCCTGATGTATAGTAACTGGTTAATAGATTCCAGCTGTTATTACTGTAATTATGATTATTATTAGATTTATTATTAGATGTAAGTGGGTCAAGCCAGAAAGAATAGATTTCCAGTTTATCAGTGACTTCAAGTAAGCAGTAATTCCCACACTTGCACGTGCATCCGAATCACCTGGAGATCTCGTTTAAAATGCAGACTCTGATTCAGCGGCCAGCCTGTCAGTCTGCATTTTTACAAAGCTCCAGCTGAGGCCAACGCTGCTGGTCTGCAGACCACGTTTTGAGTAGCAGGGACTTGGAGAGCTGAAAGAAATGGCTTTGGCCTTGAACCAGAAGTTAAAAATAAGGGGGGGAGGGGGAGGGCAGGAACCGAGAAAGTCTAGAAAAGCCTGTGACAGGCCAAAATTAGCAACATGAGACCTGAGCTATTCTGAACAGTTAGTACCTTACGGTTTCTTCCTCCTACTAAAGGAGTTGTCATAATCTAAACAGATGATTGAGCTCTTGAAAAACAAAAACAGGGCGAGAGGGCTACTGAAGAGGGAGAGAAACCCAGGAGAACAATTGTAGGACGAGCCACCTCTTCCCGCAGTCGTGAGTATAAACATTTAAAGACAACAGTCAACTCAGCTGCAGCATCTTCTTTGGGGAGCTTCTGTACCTTTGCTTTATTTACTTACTTTCTTTCTTTATGTTTGTATATATTTATTTATTCAGTGCTGGCCTCTGACGCTGTCATGCAGAGTTCAAAGTAAAAAGTGTTTCAAAGTACCTAAAATATGTTAAACTTTCAACCCTCTGGATTCGTCTGGGTTTTTTTTGTAATTGAAGTATAGTTCACATACAATACTAGTTTCAGTGGATTCTTCTGATTCTTAATAACTAAGATTTCGAAAGAATAGATTTGGGAATTCCTAGCAAATTTAATTTAAACTTATGCTGTTAACTCATATCATGAATTCTTGAGCTACAGAGAACCATCTGCTTCCAAAAACAAAAACAAAAAAGACGCTCACAGGTACTCAAGTCTAAATCAGCATCTGTCCAATAGAAATCTAAGGCAAGCCACATATGTCATTTTAAATTTTTCTCATAGGCACATCATAAAAAAATTTTTTTAAGTAGGTGAAAGTAATCTTAATATATCTTATTTAACTTATACCTAAAATACCACTTTAACGTAATATTTTAATAATTATGAATAGATATTTTACACTCTGTCTTTGAAATCCACTAGAAACAACACACGCCCGATCTGCTACTATACAACAACAATATCTTACATAATGCAATGATTAAAGTGAAATGCAGTCCTCACAAAATAAAAAAGGTGTGTTTAACGGAAAAATATTTTACATTGCTTCTGTGCTTTTCTTTAAATAAATTAAAAGTAAATAAAATTAAGAATTCAGTTCCTCAGTCACACCAGCCACATCTCGAGCGTTCAGTAGCCATGTGTGGGTGGGGCCGCTGCACTGGACAGCACAAGCCTAGATCCTGCACGCTGACCACGGCACACACCGAGGAGGAGGCTAGGCGAGGGCCAGAGCTTAGCTTACCTTTCGGCAGCTGTTCCTTGAATCACTTCGTACACAAAAACCCCGGAACTCACATCAGGGAAATTTGGATCTTGCCTTTTCATTTCCTGAAGAAGGCTGAGAAAAGGAGAAGAGTTTTCCCATAAGGCTAAGAAGCACAACGAAGGAATCTCCTGAGCCTGGGTCAAAGCCTCCAACGCTCAGCAGGTACTCTGCCTGTTCTGCTCAAGGCTCACAAGGGCCAGTAAGGATTCCTTCAAGCCGGTCACCGTTATTCTTCCATGGGGGTGTTCTGCACCCCTAGGGGGTGCAGGCAGAGCCAGAGACCTACCCTGTGACAAATAGGGCCTAAGGTCACAGGAGAACCTAGCTGTAGTCCAAAGGCGTTACCTTCCCTGTTACAACTATCCAGCTGTGGCTTTGCCTCTGAAAAACAACCCAGACATATTCAAACTCATGCTTACTTCGTAGTGAGGGGCAGCATTCGCAGACCCAGATATTTCTTCCGTGAAAGAGCCTTTCCTGGAAAAGAAAATTATAATGTGTTACCAACCACATCTTCTTTCCTTTTGGCAGAGCTTAAAAGATACCTGAGTCACAGAATATCCTCACTGTTGTGGCGGCTCTTTCAGGCTGCCAGCCATGAAATATGTGCTTAGGAGAACCTTTGTTGTTAGCACAGATACTCCTTCCACCTACCTCCCCAGCTCCAGCCTAAGAGTTTCCTTTCCACAATAGTTCAATCCAAATATTTCTGGGTACAACTCATGTCTGGTTTTCTGCCTAGACCCCCACTATTGCCAGCCAAACCACCACGATAGGAGCTGGGTACCAGTGACTCAGTATTCTATAGAACTCAAATGGCTGTCTCCACAATACATTGAGTGCTTCTGAAAACCATACAAAGCGAAGAAAAAGTCTTAATTCCCCTCACCCTTTAACTGGCGCTCATGGAATTCTGCCAAGAACTGTCGAATGCGATCTGAGGGAATTGCAAAGGAGATTCCTGCGGTCACCTTCAGTGTATTTATGCCAATCACTTCACCATCCTGGCAGGAGAGGAGACATTATTCAGTCGCCAAGTTGTGCAAACCAAACAAGTAGAGGAAGGAGTGAAGCTAGTCACTTAGGGTCGGAATTCAGAGGGGCGGAGGAGATGTGTGCTGCTTCAACAGAGAGCAATGGATGTTACCTTAGAGTGCAAATAGTGTGGTGGATTGGCAGAGACGACCTGCACATGTGCAAATTCCTGCTGAGGAATTTTTTTTTTAATCTTGAGCTCATTTTTTCTTCGCTAAATTACATTAATTTTAAAAGTGAACCACAGTTTGTATTTTGACACAGATAAGAGGACAAGGAGTATTTGCCTTTTCATCTCTTAAATGAAACTAAAAATAAACATAGAAAAGACAAAAAGCTGATGGATTTTCAGCAACACTTCAATGAAACTATTCAGAAGAATTAGCACATTGACCTTAGGAACTGAGCTCTACTGAGCTAAAGCTATGAAGTAGGAAATACTTTCCTCTTTGTGAAATTCATCATCCTTTAGTCTTTGTTAGGTAACGGAAAGGATAGAAAAGAAACTTCTGATCATATTAAAATTCAGTAGGTCTGGGATGTGGCCTGCAAGTGTGCATGTCATCCTTGCTCTAGTAAACTCATTATCTGCTGGAGAAAGCAGGCACCAAAAATTACATGCAAGGTTATGAGTAAAAAGCACTCAATAATTTCACACACAATTCATTCTCCTATAAGCAAGTGTAATATGTAAAGAGGACCAAAAACAATCAGCTTAAAGGGACTCAGCATGATCACAGACTGTGTGTCAAACAGCATTGCACGCTCGTGCTTTCACGTGTTTGGGCAACTGGAAACCCTGGCATTTCCATTAGAGATGCTGAATAAAATTTAGGAATTAAATTCATGACAGAGCAATGGATTCTTGTTGTGGCTTTTCTGCCATCTATAAGCAGGTCAAGACTAAAATCCTGGACAGACCACATCATGTAATTAGCATTTTTGGATGACAGACAGTTTTTCGGCAGGGGATCTTCAAGGATATATCTATATAGTACAGCTGGTCATTTGACATAAATTTGGGTTTAGTACCCAGGGCTTTTGTTAACTATCAATTGAAAACAGAAAACATGTTGAAGTGATGTACGTGCAAATAAGCCTGGCACTCTCAGTTGGATACGATCACACACTAGGATGATAAATCCATCGTAGATCTTAAATTTTCCTCGCCATTTACTTAAGATGCAATAATAGAAAAGCATGATACCACACATCTTTACACAAGAGTGACATCCTCGTCTGCATCATGGAATTTGTAAAGTCTTTGAAAGTTAGGAAGAGGCATGAAGCAGCAAGGAAAGTGGCCACTTACCAAGTTCACCAGAGGCCCCCCAGAATTCCCGTGCTGAAGACAGAATTTGAAAAAGCCGTTAGTACTTTTCCCCTTGTGGTTTATACATAGTTCCTAAAGAGGTCTACCGAAAGCAGCCTGCTCCAGTGAGCTGCTGTTCCCCCAAGGCAGGCAGAGCTGCGCCCCCTATCATCACCGACACTGAAGTCATTGCAGGTAAAGAACAACAGCAAAAGGACCACCACTTTCTACAGCAGCGGTGACCTCTATGACAGACCCTAAGAGCCCCCCCAATATCGTGGATGCCAATTATCACATCTAACAGGCTGAACTCTAACAACGTGGCATCCCATCCCTCTCATAAGGATCTAATGGAACTCGGGACACCCCCGAAAGTCCAAAGGCAAGAGAAGGCATTCTGAAGTGTTCTCACTGTACTGCCAGTATCTTATGGGCTAAGGATGGCCCTCCTAAGTGACTTACATTAATTATGGCATCAGTCTGGATATAGTCCATGTCAGAATCCTTCAGCCCCAGCTCTTTGCCCCCTCGCTGTGTAGTGCTGACAATTCCTGCGGTCACTGTGTTCTGCAGAGAAAACGGGCTGCCCAAAGCCAACACGAACTCTCCAGCCCGCAGGTCAGATGACCTTCCCAGCAACAATACAGGAAGGTCAGTCTGCTTACGGGGAAGAAGGGATGGGGAGGACAGAAGAGAAGAACAAACGAAGAATAGAATCAACCAGTACTTGTGCACAACACATATATGACACAGTCTCCATCATCTTGGCACGTACAATCCAAGAATCACCCACCCGCCCACATAGGGTCTACGACTGCCCCATGCTTCCTTCTCAAATTCCAACTACCACCAAACTCTCACTTGTTAAGATGATCAGGATCATCTCTAAAATCTAAAATTATTGCTTGTAGAAGTTGCTATAAGTAAACCACCAGTTAAGTAATGATGAACATAAACTAACATTAGCACTGTCCCAGCTCAAAAGTTTACCAAGTTAATAAGCCACAAACAGAAAGGAGATCACCCAGAGCAGCGCTTCTCAACTTTAATGTGCACACAAATCATCTGGGGATCTTATTAAAAAGAAGATTCTCATTCAGTAGATCTGGGTGGGGTCTGAGACTCTGTATTTCTAAAAAATTCTCAGATGATGTCAATGCTGCTGGTGTGCAGACCACCCTTTGTATAGCAAAGTATTCCTTAGCTTTGAATCCATTGTGATCATTCCTGGTATTCCAAGACAAGCAGAGAAATGAGTTTCCCAGAAGCAGTGTCTGTTGAAGAAGGAGGTGAAAGAGAAAAAAAAGACTGCTGGGTAGTTAATAGAAATTGTTAGGGATGTACAAACAGGCATGGAAGAAAAATAAAGAGGGGAGTGAAGAACAGAAAGAAAGGAAACTAGAAAAAAGCATATACCAGGTAGAAAAGATATGGAGTGGGAGTGGGGTGGAGAAGAAAACATCAGCAAATTGATGAAAATTCCCAAATCCGCAGACTCTGATTTGGCCCTTGCATACTCACATTTGGCTCAATCTTAATCAGCGCAAGATCCAATTTATGGTCAATGTCCTTGACAGTGGCATCATACTGGACCCCACTCTGGAGCTCCACCTGGATCCACCGTTGGTTGGTGAGGACGTGGGCATTGGTAACAATGAGCCCATCCTCAGACACTATGAACCCAGAGCCACTGGATGCGGGAATATCCTCACTGCTGAGAGATGACCTGTCTCAGGAAGACAACAGCATAAGCAGAGGGCAGGGAGATCAGGGGATCCATCTTAGTCTGGAAACACAGGCACCGGCCATTTATCAAGCACGCCTCCAGCAGTTTTCTCAGACATTTTACTTTACTGTCTCTCCATGTGTAAGTGGACTCTGCATGTTCAGTACCCTGGCCATCTCTTATGAACACGACTGAGCGCTGACTCTAACTCTCCTTTCCAGTGATGCTCCTTTCTTCAGAGCTGGTCAGCGGAACACCCCTCTGCTTCGAAAAGGCCTAAGCTAATCATAATACTCGGAGCAAAAGTGAACCTAGTACCTCAGGGAGGGGCCCAGGCAGGGAGGGAGTCAAAGAAGTTTGGTGCCAGCTTAGGTTCCACTACTAGCTGGCCTTGTGACATAGGACAAGTTACTCCTGCTCTCTGGGTCGGGGTGTCCTTCCATGCAAACTAGGGGGCTGGGCAAGATCACCATCCAGACGCCTTCTAGCTCTTACATCTGACCTTCAATTTTGTCTGTGGGAGATGAGGAGAGGGAACCCCCAGTCACCTAAGTGCGCGGAGCAGCCCAGAGTCGGAAGTCAGAATCCCTATGCCTCTGCTCTCCGGCTAAACGACCCTGAGCAGGTTATTCAAGCGCTTTGAGCCGCGATTTTCTCCCCGCGGTTTTTACGACTAAATGCTGCTTGGAAAGCGGTAGCGCGGGGGAGGGTGGGGGCCTGGAGCAGGGAGGCGCTCAGAAACAGTCCTCGTCCTCCTACCTCCTTTCCCTGCGGAACAGCTGCACGTGAACCACAGACGGCGCCACCTTCTCCACCACCGCGGCGATGAAGTTGTACCTGCTCCTGAGCCAGCCTGCGCTTCTGGTGCCTGTGAAGAAATGCTCCACTCTTGGGGGCGTTGGGACTTCTGCGGCCTCACCGTGTCAGGTGTCATACCTCAAATCTCTCAGTCTCTCTCCTTTCCCTCTCCACTTTCCCTTCCCTTCCTCTCTTCGGTCTTCCCCTCCTATGTATTCACTGCAATCCCATAAAGATAGGCCTTGAGGGGCCGGCCGGTGGCGTAGTGGTTAAGTGCACGCGCTCCGCTCCAGTGGCCTGGGGTTCGCAGGCCCGGATCCCAGGTGCGGCCCGACGCACCGC